CCAGGCTATCCTGGTCGTTTTATTCTTAACTCACCATGATGGCCCTTAGAGCGCCCAAATATATTTAATCCCATCACGAAAATAAATGGGCACGTTGCTATAAGATCTTAGAATCTAAATTGGATCCATATCTAAATTGTTAGGTAGTAATTGTAGTGCAATGACAGTAATTGTAGTACAACTTGTGAAAAGCATCCTTGACCTGCAGGAGTGAGAGAGGAAGACCATCAGAACCAACGGAATGGAAGATGGTACCCTTGAGAGAGGAGGGAAAAGTACTATTGCTGTCTTGTGGCAGGAGCAATGACATGCACCTTAAATCACATCAGTTTGGATAAGTGGGAGATAAGGAACAACCTACGCTTGCCCCAAGAGCTGAACAAATGCTTTGTCTCACCTTTGGTTACCTCTTCATCCTGACTGAAGACTCTTGGTGGCATAATGCATGGCACTGAAGACTCGGATATAGAAACTGCCTAATTTGAGGTGAAAGCAAAACTGAGATTGCTTCCAATCACAAAATTGAGGGCCTAGATAGTCTCAGCCCAGCATGTTAAAGGAATAGAATTGCTGCTATTTCAGGTGTCAAACGTGGATATTCACCAGCTCTGGGAGAGTCTCTGCCACTAGAAAATAACTAATTCTGTAAGTATCTTAAAACAAAGCAAAGAGAAAAGAAGTGATCCAGGCAATTACAAGCGTGTTAGCTTGGCTTTGGGGGTCGGTAAGATCTTAAAATGTACCGAAGAAAAGAGTAGTTAAAGATACAGAAGGAAAAGAAAGTAGGACGGAAAAAATCGGTTTATCAGAAGATGATGGTATCAGACTAACTTCATTCTCTGACAAGATAAGTTTTAATAAAGAAGCATAATGCAGTGGACTTAATTTATCTAGATTGAAGTGTGTGATGGGAAATTGTTGACCAGCTGGATATGCTAGAGTTAGAGGTGGGTGACACTTGACTCAAAGGAGGATGGATAGTTCGCTCACTAATCTGACCAGTGAGCAGTCATCAGTGGTGTCTCTGAGATTGAAAATGTCCCCCAGTTTATGAGCATCCACAAATGTCATGAGGACACCGCTAACTCCAGTACAAAGTTTGATTTGAAAAAAATGTTAAACAGGACAGATAATGACACCAGTGTGAAGATAACCAGGTTGTTGTATGAGAAGATTTAGGTAATTGTATGAAATGGAGCAGTTAGCGGTATGAACTGCAACACCATTCACCTAGAGACCAATAACAAGGGCTTAAGCTATAAGATGGGGGCCTCAGACTGGAGTCATCAGAGCAGGATCTAGGAAATCATAGGATGACCATGAACTTCCAGTGCAACGCAGCTTTTAAAAAGAGGGTTCAGAGGGACAAATGATGATGTAAGTCCTGGATAAGACCAGGTAGAGTACTGTGCAGTTCTCATGACAAGTGTTCAAACTTTAAACTGCAGCAAATTGAAAGAGAGGCCACTAGGATGCTGAAGGGAATGGAGACCTTTTATTATGGAAGATGAAAATAAGTCAGCTTGTTTAGTTGGGCAAGGCAGAGGTTGAGAAGGGATATGATCACTTTTTACTAGTATGTATGGCAGTGAACATGAAGGAGAAGACCTTTTTTAGGCTGAATAACAGTGCAGAGACGAGATCAAAGAGCTGCAAACTGGCTAGTGGTCAATTTTGGATTGGGAATTGGAAGATTTCTGAGTGTGGGCAATTACAGGAAAATGGTGGGGTCAAGAAACCTGTCTAGCTTTAAGGTTGAACTGGGTAAGCTGGGTGAACTGGGTTGAAGGGATGGTATGATAGGACAGGGAGTTCTGGCTCACCAGTCAGTGCGTCTGTGTAGTTGTGGTCCCCAGGTTGGGATAGCTTAAGTGTCGTAGAAAGTCTGGTAAGTCTGGGCCTTAGGGCGTTTGCTGTTTTGTTTTTTTTTTTTTCCATTTTGTGCCAAGAACCAATTTTCCACCCCTAGGAATGCTCCTGGCTTCTGATAGTGGATTAGAGTTTTTTTTCCTCCTTCTTAAGCATTGGGATTTTGGCCATTGCAGGGGGAGGGTGTGAGGGATGGCAGGTTGGCTGGAGAGCACTGATGCTTTTACTGGTGCTTAGTGCAAACCCAGCCGTTCCCCGCTAGAAGATCCTTCTCTCTCACTCAGGGTTGTTCAGATTTGCCAGATCTGGAGTTTGGGAGGAATATTTCCATTAGGACAGATTTGGCATTGACCATGGAGGAGATTTGCTTTCCAGGAGAGGGGGCAGTAATCTTTTCCCCCTAGGATTTTCTTAGCATTACTCTGGGTGGGTGTGGGTATGTGCACACGTATGTACTATGGGTTGTGTGCATGTGTGTGCACACATACCCTTCCTTGTTGCACTTGGGGGCATGTAACTGGGTATTCTTGATGTCTTGGAATTCCTTGTAGCTGTGGCAGAGGGTTTGCAGCAATTATTTGGGTGATTTTTTTTTTTTTTTTTCCCCCCCCTTGGGTTCCTGATGGCTTGTAAAAACAGGGAACCGCAGTCAGTGGGCCAAGAGGCCCCTCCCCATCCTCTGTTCCTACGTGTTTTGTCAGTAAGTGGTTGAGGGTGCAGGACCAAAACAAGCAAAGCAGAAGGGTGATGGGACGCATGAACCTTCACACGGTCTCCAGAGTTGTTTTATGTAGATCTAGCATCTCAACCTGCTTCCTAGAGGTACTTATTGAGGGCCCCTAATGCCTTTGCATTACAAAAATGTTAGCCTTTAACCAGCAGGGTCAGGCACCTGTACTTGTGTGCATGTCACAGCTATATGATGTATTGATAGGATGTAGAATCTGAATACCCCTCTGAACCAAAGGTTTTATTCTAAATAAAGTTTCTAGTCCTCTTAGTTGTATAGAGAATCTTCCAAAAGAGAGTCCGTTGACTAAAGTGTCATAAATAGGCACCTCAACAAGGTAGTCTGGAAGAGGAAGTTCACACCTCTCAGAATAACTGGTGGATGTTTGTGGACTCAGGGGAAAAAAAGAGCCCACAAGCATCCACCAGTTATTCTGGGAGGTGTGAACTTCCTCTTCCAGACTACCTAGATGAGGTGCCTATTTGTCTGTGATATACAAGTGTCATAATGAGGGTTGACGGGACCTCAGGAAGTCGCATCTAGTCAACCCCCCTGCTCAAAGCAGGACCAGCCGCAGCTACATCATCCCAGCCGGGGCTTTGTCTACCTGGGTTTTTAAAGCCTCCAAGGATGGAGAGTCCACCACCTCTCTGGGGAGCCTGGTTCAGTGCTTCGTAACCCTCTTTGTGAGAGTTTTTCCTACTAACCAACCTCAACTTCCCTTCCTGCAACTTGAGCCCATTGCTCCTTGTCCTGTATCTGCCCCCACTGAGAACAGCCCAGCTCCATCCTCTGTGCAACCCCCTGCAGGGAGGTGAAGGCTGTTATCAAATGTAAGTGTATGTCTGCATTAGCTAGTTAATTGGAAATAGGAGCTAAAATAAAAAAGGAGGTCTGAAGTGGGTAGTTTCAGCTGGAAAAAAAAATGCAGAAGGAATTGAAGATGGTGCATATAAAAGGAAAAGAGGGACAGACAAATGAGGGTGGAAAGGAAGTAGTAGGTGTCATTCTTGAGTGGTGTTTGAGTGGGACGAAGTACTGATGGTCCTATCACTGCATAAAGTCTGTACCGGACTTGATCTCTGTGCAGAAACCCCTTTGAGAACAGTGGGAGATCTGTGGCTTGGAGGGAGCACTTGGTCCTATGTTCATACCAAAGGCAGATGCCAAACCTGGAATTCGGCTTTTCTCCAAGGAACCAGTTTGAGGCGTCTGGTTTATGCGGGTTTAGATTATAGATTATGGAATAATTAGTTGTATTCAATAGACTAAGAATAACAAACGGTTTTAGATCTATATGTTCTGTTGGTTTGCTGTAGCTGTGTATTACTGAATTTGTTTTGTTAACATAGGTAATCCTCTTCCATTTCTTATTTACCAAAAACCCCAAAACCCCAACATGTAAGTGTAAACTTCTACGTATCCAAAGATGTCTTTGGCTTCCCAATTCTAGAAATGTCCTGCAAAGCAAATGATTTTACAAGGAGGATAAGGAAAATTGTTCTGAAATCTGACTTTTTTTTTTTAAGTTGGTTTAAATAAGTTTTACTATTCTTTCTTTTGTCTTTAATTTAATTTTACAAGGTTTGGATCATAGCTGCTTCATTTTCGGTATACAAGTACAATCAGTTTATACTGTACTTCTTTCTGAATGCATTGGACTTTCAGGTCTCGCAGTCGTCTTCAGCAGCGTCTGTAAGACTGCAAGATTCAAAATAATTTTTCTCTTCAGGTGTTCATATTCATAACACTAGACACAGTTAGTTTCTGTGTTCCCTTTGTACAGCTAGACTTGGCCAGGAATTATGGAGCAATGTGTGATCTCTTTGAAAATTGTCCATTTGTTAAAAACTAAAACTTCCAATTAGCGATGTCCAGGTTGGTCTCCCACCTGCCTGACTTGCAGGAAAATGTCTTTGGGTGATGTTTTTTGTCAGCAAACTTCAATAGTGTCTCACTTTTTGTCCTGATGTAGAACAGGAAAATAGATAACCTCTTAAGATTTGTCCAAGGACGGCAAAAAACATTTCTTAACCACTTCTCCATATAATGATAGTCTGTCTCTTCCTGCAGCAACGGAAAAGAAAAACTGATTGCAAAACCATAGGAGCTGGTAGGGGGTTTGGGGCAAATGAGTGGAGCATTTGATGTTAACTTGAAATCGAGTCTTAAAGTGTTGACTCTGTCCTTTTTTAGGTTACACTTGCAGCATTTCTTTGAAATTATAAATTTTTGCAACTCAGGTTTAAATTGGAGCACCAGTAAGAACCTCCAGTGTAATGGTTGTGGTAAGGAGTTTGTCATCTGACCCCTTTTTCCTCTCTAAACTTATGACGTGAATTTGATTTTTAATGGTTCTGCTTCTGAAGTATCATGTTTGTTTGCCTGTTTTCCTTTTCAGTTGTTTGTGGTAGATGTCCAGACTGGCCAAATTACCAAGATTCCTATTCTGAAAGATCGTGAACCCGGTATGGTAAACCAGCAAGGCTGCGGTATTCACGCGATTGAGCTGAACCCATCAAGGACACTTTTGGCTACAGGAGGAGACAACCCAAATAGCCTTGCGATTTATCGTCTGCCTACGCTTGATCCTGTCTGTGTGGGAGATGTAAGTTAATATATTTGAGAAAAGCAAATGCTGTCACTCGCTAAGTATTATACATAGACACGTCCAAGGTCAGAGCAGAGCTTGGGTTGTTGAAAGCTTGTCAAGAGAGAATGAACTGGAGCTGGGGGCGTGTATATGAATATGGCCTCTGCATTTTTTTATTTATTTTTTTTAAATCCTTCCAATCTGGAAATGTGAACAGGCAAAGAGGAAAAGAGATGCATTTCCACTCTGCAAAGCCAAATCTCTCGGCAGAGACTCATTTCTAAAGCCTTACAAGCTTTGGAAATTAACAAAATCCTACATATTGCCAATATTTAACTGTGAAATTGCCCTCTTAATAAGCTTTCTGAGGCCCAAAAAGCAGGTTGTTAGCAGGAAAATTATATGGAGAAATTAAAATGGAGAAATGATGTTGTGTGGTTGCTGAGTTCTTTCCTAATCCAGGATGCCTGGCACAGATTGGTCTGAAGACAGAATTTGGCTCTGCAGATTAATTCTAACTAGTAGCTTTTGCCAGTATGGGATATACATTGTACCATGCTCTACTTATTAAAGAGGTTGTGTCGTATATACAGTTTTTATATAACCCTATTCCAAAATCAAAGCTTCGAATGAGTGTACTGTCTTCTCAAAAGCCTCATTCCCTAGGCAGCAGGACTTTCACAGCAGCAGAGGTCGTCATGCCTGTGGTAGCTGATAACCAGCTTCAGGGTAACCTGACTTCTAAGATTTTTCCTGTTTGCTATTCATTTGCATGCTACTGAGACTTGACAGCTCTTTCTTGGAGAACTGGAGTCCTAATGCTCTTTTTGGATTCTACTGGGAGTTCGTCCCAGGCAAGGACTGCAGTAGCAGGAGCCTGGCTTTGCTGCACAGGCTGCTGTTAGACTCTTTCCCCACGTGACCCATTTTGGTGGGCCTGCAGCAGTGTTGTGCACTGTGAATATTTTGTTTTAATGTCTTCTAAAATACAGCATATGGATTAAAATGAATAGCAGTTACCTACCTATGAGAAGTTTAAACAGGGAGCATGTAGTGATGATTTCACAGAAGCAAACAGTGCACCTATGAGTGCAACACTTAACCTTTTGTTCAGTTTCAGACTTTAAACTCTAAGCTCAATCAGGAGATCTTTTTACTCGTAATTAATGTCAGTAAGTCTTTAGTGTCAGGAAGAGTAGATTTCAAATCTAGTCCATTTAAAAAGAAAAAAAAAAAGGCAAGGATGGTTTTAGTTACTAATCTAAATTCTGCCAGTGCCTTTCCTCCTGTTGCTGCACAATTAACAAAACTATCTGAAATGATTATTCAGGAATACTGTGAACCCCTGAATGCATTTGATAGCCTTTGATGTGACAAATAGGTTAATATTCTTTCTTTCTTGTTTTCAGGATGGACACAAGGACTGGATATTTTCTATTGCATGGATCAGTGATACTATGGCTGTTTCTGGTAAAAGCTCATTTTTATATAAGATCCTTATAGTGCAGTGCATCTCCTGGTTTTCATGGGAAGACTTACATTGCCTGACAAGATGATCAGATCATCGGATACAGATATTTGATGTAGTAACAATGGGATGTCATGATTCTAATATAACACATGTAAAGCAGTTGAACTGAGATAGTCAACACTTCAAATATAACCATGTTAGCACCAAATGATCTGGTATACCTTAAAGCAATGATTCTCAACTGAAGTAATGCGAGATCCTTCCAGGGGTGCCATGGGGTGCTGCATTGTTGGGTGAATAAATACCTAGGTGTGATTCACAAGATGAACTCGGCAGTTTCAAATAGGAATCCGTAGTGTCAAAATCATTCTGATCTGTTGTGGTCTTTCTGAGTTCTTTGCAACAGAAGAATTGCTATATTTATTTCCATACTTAAAAAAAGAGTGGGGGGGAAAAAAAGATGAAAGCGAAGAGCTGGCATTTCCCAGTGCCTCGAGTCTAACAAGATTGAGAACCATTGCTCTAACTTTTGTGTTTGTAGCAAGTGTGAGACAGCATCACTACAGAGTTGCTGCACAGTCCACATGATGAGCAAGTATCTCGTTAAAAAATAGATGCTCCTAACCATGACAGCCATGTGTTGATACCAGACTTGAAGGAAATCGTTCCAACTAGATCTAAACTTTCTTCAGAGGTAGTAAATGTGTTTTGCCTGTGGTTAGATTGTTTTTTTTCTTTTTAATTAATCACACACCTGTGTACATATAATCTGAGAGCCTTTAAAGTCCCTTGGTACAGCTTGTTGTCTGTATCGCAGTCACGTCGGAGCAGCGTAGGGAGTGCCTTTGCATAACCATGCATATTGCAAGCGCCATACTTAAAGGCCACTTGAAAGCAAATACAAAAAATCTTGAGTGCGTGAGGAGTGAAAGCTCTTGAAATCAGTCCTTTTTGCATTGCACAGCTCGCAGTTCAGTGCTTTTATTCAACTTTTCAGTTGTCAAGTTTTAAAGGTGTTTTAATTAAGTGGTTTTTTTATGGCTTTTTGATAACTGATACAATTGCTCTTTATAGAGAGAGGATGCTCTGGGCTCTTGTCTAGGTACAGCTGTGTTCAAAACCACCTAACTGTCAATAGCTTCTTTATTGCTCACTTTTAATTGTAATCACTTTCACATATACCACATGACATTTTCGAAGAGGCTTTGGGACCAGGTGTATATTAATGGGACATATTCCACTCTCTGAATTTGTATGTCACCGGGACTCAGAAAAACGTAACCATTCTAACTCCATTCAGATTGTCAAGCTGAGTACTGACAAAACCATGAAGAAGAACTGGAAATAATCTTAGAAACTGTAATGTATATTTGCAGTTGCAAGTGAGAGGCAGAAAGGTACAAAGTTGAGCACCGGGGGAGGAATTACCATAAGCGGAGAAAAGTGCTTGGTGTCTGTTTCTGAGAGGTGGGTCAAATGTGATTCGGAGGGAGGAAGAGGAATCATTGGTGTCGCTCTAGGTCATATCAGTTTGCCAGCCGCTTTGGTGCAAAGAAGGCTGAAGGGTTGAATTTCCATGTCCCTTGTTCTTATTGGTATTTAGGTAGAGGCAGGGGTCAGTGCATGCAGTGGCTTATTTAAGGAATCGATGGGCATAAGTCTAAATCTCTTTTGACCTAAAGTGGCCTTGATTGAAGGAGAAATAAGTCGGTCAGCCATCTCGGCTGTGCAGAAATAGACTGTACAAAAAGAGCCCAGATAGAAAGAATAATTTTTCTAAGAAAGCAAAAAGATCAGGTAAGAAACAAGATGGTTCCCTGACTTCAGGGCTAAACCAGTTTAACGAAGTAGTTGTTTTTTAGTTAGTATTTAAGAGAGAGAGCTTCTTACTAGAACATCTCGGCATATGTAGAAATTCATCGAGTATTGATTTCCTCCCCCCCATAACAGTTAAAACTGTGTTCTGTTAAATGCCTTGATCATATACATCAGTAAGGGCCAGCCTTTTTGGCAGGCATGCCACAAATTAGCCCTACGCCCCAAGTGTCACTAGTCCCCTTCGCTTGCATGATCTGCTGCTCCCCACTAGTTCAGCTGCTTTCCTTTCTGCTGCCTGCTGTGTTTGCCACTGTGCTGCCTTCCCCTCCCCAATATCCTGCATGCCACATACTGAGACTGCCAGCACTGTCACCCCGACATATGTTGTGTGGCAGGACATACTATGTACCACTTGATGCTTGTATTAGGAAGTGTCCCTGGGAAGCCTTTTTGGGGGAGCACTTCAGCAAGGGGAGCTGACTGCATTTGTTTGACCTGGTTGACAAGGTGACAACATAATGACATCATGCCAAATTGTTGTCCTGTGTGTTCATCGTTTGATGCTTAGCTGTTCTTTTCACGTCGTACTTGGAAAATAAATGCTTCGAAGCCTGTGTGTTTTTTAGAAGGGTTCTCACTCTTACCTAGTCTTTTCCCACTTCAGAGCGACACTAAATAATTGGCTCTTACAATAACTTTGTGAACGAGTCTGGGGAGGAAAAACGTTCTTCTCATTGTACAGGGACAGAAACTGAGTTGCGGATTAGGCCAATTGTACAGGTGGCAGCACTAAGACGCAGATGGAAGTGAGTGGGGTAAATCCCATGAGGGGTTGGGGGTGGGATGGGACTAATTTGCAGCAGCTTTTGTCTCAGGCCTATGTTGAGACTGCTCTACTAGTGTCGTCATCAAGAAGAATGATTTGCTCATTTGGTTGATTTTTTTTTCCCACATTCAACAGAGCAGTGATACAAGCACTGATAGAAACACACCATCAAAAGAAACCTAGTTTGAACCTCTTGAAGGTATTCGTACAAGCTTTGCTTAGGTTTTAAATCATCTTAAACACGCCTATAAACAGGAGCAGAACTTTGCTGACCCAGCCACTTCTAAGCACCCTGCTAGACATATATTCTCTGTGGATGATTGCTCCACAGTTTGTTCTTGATTGCTGTGAGTAGTTCTTGAAATAGCAGCTTTAAGCATTATTTAGCTACTGGCAAGCTTTAATGAGATTCCAATTAGCGTTCTAAATTTGACAGGTTTAAAAACCATGCTTTTATTAGCTCTTATTAATATTTAAGCACCAGGACCATGTTCAGCTAAATAAAACTAATCCTGATCATGTTTTCTCCTTCCTTAGGGCTGTGTTTTCAGTAGAGAAATTGTGCGTGCCTAACCTATGCTGCTATGTGCTTTACCCTTAGGTTCCCGGGATGGCTCGATGGGTCTCTGGGAGGTGACAGAGGATGTCCTGTCAAAAACCGATGCCAGGCATAACCTCTCCCGAGTCCCCGTCTATGCTCACATAACACACAGGGCTCTGAAAGATATCCCCAAGGAGAACACCAATCCTGACAACTGCAAGGTCCGAGCATTGGCATTCAACAATAAGAACAAGGTCAGTAAGATGTAAACAGGCAGCTTGAGAGGACTGAAATGATAACCTTCTCGTTTCTGGAACTGGATAAAAGCTGGACTGAGATGTGACTTGGATTCCAGTCTGACTGATAAACTTGAGGCAAAGCTGCAGTTTTAGGATGTTTTGCTAGAAGCTTTTTTTTTTTTTTTTGCCTGCCTCCTTTTTTTTTTTTTTTTTTAATGTTGTATTCTTCATCTGCTGCTTTTGTGTCTGCCATTAACTAGCAGATACTCTGGAACAAATATAACAGTTTCAAAAGGAAGATCTTCCGTGTGTGGATGGCTTGGCAGGGGGGAGACTAGGTTTGGCCTATGGAGCACTTAACCATTGACAAAAGACAAGCAGAGCAGAATTCAGCTTGCAGGTTGGACCCTGCTCACTCATCCTTTCTCCACTTGTGAAACCACAGTGGCTGCATGTCCATCAATAGCCAGCTAGAGGATTCAGCTGACTTTTGAGGCCCAGCATTAATAGATTGAACCTCTCTCCTTCTCTTTAGTGTAAAAGTTTGTTTTATATATTTGCCATACTGTAAAAATGTAAACTGCATTGTGCAAATACTTCCCCCAGTTCACACCTTGGTATTACTGCCAACTACTGTCTTGAACTGAAACCAATGTAAAATTTAAGGTTTGCTTTGTGCATATTCATCAAGACTACGGGCAAATTTTACAGCAATTATCAAGGCTCAAGCTACTAAAATAGCATTTAGGCAGCTGCCTTGTATTGAATTTAAGTTTGTGAGAACATATATGGAAGCTAACCCTTTTTCTCTTCTAGGAGCTAGGTGCTGTATCTCTGGATGGATACTTTCATCTTTGGAAAGCAGAGCACACACTATCAAAGGTGCTGTTTCTGTTTGTGTCTGTACTAAATTTCAACAGTTAGTCTAGCAGTTAAGCCAGTCTGCCACTGTTTCATAGGATGTCTGAGCTGACTGCAGCAGTGTGTGTAATGCACGTGTCCCCAATCATTTATTTGGAGGTTGGAAAGACTAATGGCAAAATGGACCTTTTTAGAAATAGAGCCCTGGAAAGAGAAGCGTGGGATTTTTTTTTTGTTTTGTTTTCCCCTCCTTGTGAGGGAGGCAAGCTTCTACCTTTTACTGAATCTGGACAAATATTAAGGGTTTTTCTTTATCCCGCTTTGTTCTAATGTTCATACTGGACCCAAGTGCTTGTCTATTTGATTAAGTTGTAGCAAATTAATTGAGGTGTCCTTTTGAACTGTTGTAGTCACATTGGTGCAAATGGTTTTGTGAATGCTCTGGTTTACACTAGCATAAATTAAGTCCATTAGAAATAGGAATAAGCAGAACTGGACTGCATCTGTAGAGCTGGATGATGTGCATAATTAGAATGGTGTGCATGGGAGAGATGATTTGGGGGCACGCGGTATGCAAGAAGTACAGTAGGCTAGACCAGAGCAGTAACAATTGTAGGCAAAGTTTAAGTGTCCTGTTTCCCACCTCAACTGACCCCATCCTGCTCCCATGCCTCCAGAGCTGCTGTTTTCAACAGTACTGCCTTTGACGGTGTGCTGTCTTCTTCTGTCCTTCTCCTTCTCCTCCAGGCCTTTTCCTTTGCCTTTTCTGAAAGAGTTACTGACTTCATTGTGAACTTAATTTTTCAGCCCTGTGTTGCTTTTTTGTAGTGGTCTCATGGGTGTTTGTTTTTGTGCTGTCAGTTATCTCTTTCCCCCTTTTTTTTTTTTTTTTTTCCCCCTTTTTATCTTTTCCATAATGAGTTAAACTTTTCTTTCAATTTTATTTTCAGTTACTTTCCACAAAGTTGCCATACTGCAGGGAGAATGTGTGTCTGGCCTATGGTCAGGAGTGGTCGGTGTATGCAGTGGGATCTCAGGCGCATGTCTCCTTTCTGGACCCAAGGCAGCCTTCCAACAACGTTAAATCCGTCTGTTCCAGAGAACGAGGCAGTGGTAAGGAAAGCTTGAAGTTGCAAATTATCTGCCTGCAAAGGTAACAGTTAATGGCCGCAATAAAATGCAGTAGCTAGTAAATATCGAGGATTCTTCTTTGGCTGTCCTAATAATTAGTAGTATGTGTAAATTTAAACTCAATATGTTCCACAAGCAGATTGAATTGTGTGCATCTCGAGGTAATAAAGGCAGAGACATGGTTAGCCCTCTAACCGGCTAGGATCCATTGAATTTCACCGCTGACCAGATGCTGTATAGAATAAGAGGTGCTGTCACTTAAGTTTATCAAATGATCCATCCTTTGTCACCAGTCCCCTGGGTTACGGAATAACCAATGTCCCTGCCTCTACTCTTTCTTTTTTTCCTTGTATTTACATCTTTTGGAACTGAATAACAATTTAGTCATCTTCATGCTCTGTGCTACAAGATTGGGCTTCTACATTGCAAGAACATGTTTTCATTGTAATTTAAAACACTAGAAATGTTTCCTTCAAGGTTTTAAAATTGTGTAAAAATGAGGCATTTATAAGAAGTTGTGTGAAATATAAATTCTTGAAGTGGTTGTATTACACGTGCGTCCACACTGCAAGCAGATTATCTATCCCTTATGTAAAATGGAGTCACTTGATCACCAGCGTCCATTTAGTCTGTACTTACAGTGAAGAGGCTGTCATGAGTGCATGAGAAGTGAAGTACAGCTAGCTCACACTCATTTCCTTCTTAGTCCCCTGATTAAAGCAGAAACACTGTTCCTGTCTTGTACTGTAGAAAACCGCGAGTCCTCTGGATCCTGGTGTCTGCATAAGAGGTCTAGTTGGGTGCCTGATGAATCCATTTGTGGCTGACGAGCCCAATTCAAGAGCCACACAGCTTGTTACAAGTTTGACAGATCCATATGTTGTCTAAGTTGGAGTCCGAGTTTACAGCATACTGCTTTATTGTTGCTCGTTTTTCTTCCATCCTCTGGATCAAAGGCACTTCGTGTCGAGCTCCACCCAGTTCCAGATGTTCCCTGCATATCGGATGGGATTCTGCGCGCTCCTCTCAGCTTTCTATGTTGATGCTGAATGACTTCATATTTTTTTTTTGTACTCATGGTGTTACTACCATAGAGAGTGACCCCACTTTTTAGAGCCGTCTCGAATCTTGCTGTACAAAATGTTCTAGGGATTATGGTCTCCTCCCATTCTCCTGGTATGGCCGAGCCATTGCAACCTCCTCCTCTTGATGGTGGTTTCTAAGTTTGTCAGTCCTGTGCACTTCAGTACCTCTGTTTTTGGTATTCTTTCGTCCCACTTTATTTTCAGGATCTTAGCAGACATCTCATGTGGAAGCTGCTCAGTCTCTTGATGTGCCTAGCATATGTTGTCCAGGTTTCTAAATCATAAAGCAGGGATGATGGTCCACAAGTCTTGTAGATTCGTGTCTTCACCTTAGCTGATAGTTTGCTGTTATTCTGTGCACATTTCTATAATAGCGCAAAATTCTTAGCTGCTTTTCCAGTTCTGTTACTTCAGTCTGAAGATCAAGATTCCCGCTGATGGTAGAACCCAAGTAGCAAAAACTGTCAACGCCATCAAGAGATTTATCGTCCAGAGTCATGTCAGATATTGGTTCTTCCATCCCTTGGTACATGATCACAGTCTTCTTGAGACTAATTGCCACCCTGAAGCTCTTGCATGACTCGGAAAATCTGCCCAAGAGATTTTGCAGGGAAGATTCACTGTGGGCAACTAAGGCTGCATCATCTATGAACAGGAAATCTCTCAGTACCAGATCTGTCACCTTGATTTTTGCTCTAAACCTTGCAGTGTTGAACAAGCTTCTATCTAGTTTGGTTCAAAGATGAATGCTGACATTGCTGAATCCACGACAAAGTCCTTGAATGCATGAAGAACCAGGAAAGAAAAGTAGAGGTTAAGAAGCAAGGGGGCTAAGACCCACCCCTGTTTCACCCCGTTGTTCATGTCAAAGGTGTTTGGACCTTGGTTTTCATACACTACAGTTGCCTTCATTCCTTGATGTAACAAGTGAAAGATGCCCAGTGGTTTGGGGGGACAACCCAGTTTCGTTAGAACAGTAAAAAGGCCCTGCCTATTGACTGTATGGAAGCACGTTGTCAGATCAGTGAAGGATACAAACAGTGCTATTCGTTTTTTTCCTACACTCCTCTTGCAGTTGCTTGACCAAAAATGTCATATCAATGGTGGAACGTCCTGAGCAAAAACTGCATTGATTCTCAGGATAAGAGATATATATATATATATATATATATTTTTTTTTATTTTTTTTTTATTTTTTTTATTTTTTACCTAGAGCAGGGGTTTCCAAACTGGGTACACAAGACATCTCTGGGTGATATGTGGGAGAAATTGGTGATGAAAATTAAATCTGCCATTACACATAAGTGGCATTGAAGGGGTTAAAAAATAAAATGTGTGCTGTTGGGGGCACGAGGGCAGCTGCTAAATCTGGAAGGGGGTACGCAATAAGAGAGAGTTTGGGAGCCTCTGACCTAGAGACCGCAACCTACGGCGTGCGATGCCAGTGACCGTGTTTCCAACGACGTTCAACAGGGAGATACCTCTGTAGCTGTGAGTCGCTTCTATCCCCTTTGTTGTATTATTGTACAAACCGAACATCTCTGAAATCGTGTGGTCCCACTTGCTCTCTCCACCAGAGCAGCATAATATCATGAAGCTTTCATAGTAATTTGTCGTTGGCACATTTGTAGATTATAGCAGGCGAGCCGTCTTGTACTAGTGCTTTTAGATAACTACAAAGCCGCCTCTTACCTCTTAGTAGAGTTTAGGAATAGCTGCTGTAAATTTTAGTTACCCGAATTTTTTTTAACTTTCTTTCTCTGATCAAATCATCCACTACTTCCAAGTATTTTTTTCATAGTCTGAAATGACTAGTCCCCTGAGAGATGCTCTAACTTGAAAACTTTGTTTTTGAGGCACGTTGCTGAGAAGCGTACTTCTTGAAATTTTATTTTTCAAAACCAACTTAAAAGTGGAAAAAGCTAGCTGAAAACTCGCAACACACGATCCAGGAGTTTCTTTCCAGTCTCTAGCTGCCGCAGGCCATTGCATTGCAAAATCACATTCATAAGTATATCCAACTCCAACTTTTAAACCTGATTAGGCTGCTTGTTACTGCTGCATCTGCTGGAAGGCTGTTCCATGCTGTCATTCCACTGATGGCTAGAAACTTGATTTCCACCTAAATGTGTTCGTGCCAGCTCATCCCCATTTGTTCTTGTGCCATCTTTATCCTTCATCTTAAATAACTCCCTCCAGGAGCATCCTCTGTAAGCTTTCATTTTGTCGGGCTAAACTAAGCTTTTTTTTCTTGGTATTCTCTCCTCAATTAGGCTGTCCATTTACCAGATTGTCCTAGTTAGGCCTTCTCTGAACCTGTTCCACTATGAACATAACTGTCTCTGTGATAATGTGGCTCCTCAAACTTGACTTATCACAGACATCATTAGCACACTTGTTTTTGTGCCTGGGTTATCAATGAAAATTTTAAATGAGATCACTTCTAAAACCAGTCTTAAAGGAACCCCACTAATAACCCCTTTCCAGCCTGAAAGAGCAGATTGAAGTCGAAGGAGGGTTATTGCCCAGCTGGCCAGGTTCTTTTACTTGCCTTGCAATGTTTATTCAGATCCTCCTCTTCAGTTTAACTAACTGCCTGTGTAGCACTGTATCAAATGCTTTTCTGAATTTTTAGATTAATGTGTTTCCTTTGTCTAGGAAAATCAGTTATAACCCAGTATTGTTCTTTGGGAAGACTCTGGCATAGTTTGTATTCAGTAAATCCATGTTGCATTTATCCCATTTTTTTCTGTTAGTCTCCGGTCACTTTTTGCCTTCAGAACCTTGTTCTAAAGCTTTGCCTGTTGCCGAGATCAGAGTAACCGGACTTTAGTTGCCTGGATTATGTTTTCCCTTTCTTAATGATGTATGTGTTATTTTTCCAGTCTTAACAGTGCTACCTCCAGCCCCTGATTTAGTTTATTAAAAATCTTTGCTTTTGCATTGGCTAGATCCACGAGACCCACCCTGACCCTCTAGGTCTATTTTGCAGCAGAATACTGTCGTCTTAACTTCTGGGGCTCGAGCTTCTTCAGCAAAGCATTTCTTGATTGCTGACTGTCAACCCCTCGTTCCAGCCAGAAAGGGCCAAATTACAGCACTTCAGCACAGACATTGTCCAAATGGTTTTCAGGTTGAATCAAGCTTTGTTGATCAGGTTGCTAATTCAGAAAACCCCTGGTGTCAGTTAGAACTGCCCATTTGAAGCACAAGCAGCTTCTGTAGCTTTTTTTTATAAGTATCCCAGTAGCTGAGACTCATTAAGCAGCTGTTTGGGGAAAATGTGTAATTCTACTAATATTACTCTTCAGTAGAGACTTCTCTATTTAATGCCTAATTTGGCAGAACCGTGTTGCAGTCCTGATCTGTCTAGCCTCCTAGCAGTCCCCTCCCTTCCGCAGGCTGTTGCTTGAGTCACCAAAGTGCAATATAGTATAGACAAAACCTTGAAGAGCAGTTATCTGTAGAGTAACTGGTATTCTTGAAAGTGGTGGCATTTGTGTACCACAAACCATCTGCCAAGTCATGGAGGCTGTTGTTGCCTGGACTCCATATTGATGTAGTGGCTAAGGATCTTTTGACCTTGCTCTGCCTCTCTATGTCCTTGCCCTCGCACGCAGTACAATGGCGCACAGTCCCATCTTGAGTGCATAGGGCCCGTGCAACATCAGAAGTGGAATATGTGTAGACAGCACGCCTCAAAGAGCTCGCTTAAGATGTATTAAATGACTTCCCTTTTTTTTTCCTATGCCATCTTGGGTTATATGAAGTAGGTGAAGACTGCAAACCTCAGTGCTTAGCCTTACATTGCTAACCCCCTATTTAAGCATTTGAATAGGAGAATAATCTTGAAAGATGCCTAGTGCCTGCACCTGCTGTTGGTTCCACTGTGAACTGTGGATTCTTGGCATCTTTGAAGAATGAGACTCAACTAAAAAGCTGTAGCTGAACATAGATTTAATTTTAGCTATTCAGGTTTGAAAATGTTGGCCAGCTGCCATCTTCTGTTGAATGTTCCTAGAAATCGCCTGTGGTGAGCTGAACACGCACTTTGAAACGCCGTTGTTCTCGGGGACACCAATGTATCATTTAAAAGTTGATCTCAAAGTTTTCTTATTTATCAAGACTTGAGATGAGAAGTGCATTCTGCTACAATGCGTGATGACTTTTATTTCATCTGAAGCAGCAGTTGCAAGGGAATATGAAGCAACCTGAACTTTTTCCTTGTTAAGCGAGAACAGCCTTTCTTTGATGCTGGCTTAAAATGGGCTGATAGGTATGGCTCTAATCCATCCTGTGGTGGTAGTTTGTTTCTAGCTGTTCGAAGCCATGTCTTTATATGTTCTCTTTGCCTACCGCTCTTAGCATGAGTGTGGGGAAATGTCCCTGCTTTCCATTTTCCTCCTTTAAGTGGGGAACCTCCCCTACTGTACAAGAGTGAGACTTAATTCGCCCGCGTTCATTGTGTACTTTGAAGGTGTTACAGTTCAAGGTATTACTATGACACCCACATAGTACAATGATGGGCATGTTGGAGTTTAATTAGATTTTTTTTTTCTCATCAGGTTCAGGTACAGTTTGTGCTTCGGTTTTATGTTAATTATTAATCCTATGTACTTAAACCCCTTAAGGAAGCAATTTGAAATGCCATTTTTCAAATGTACTCTAAAACATCCTCCTGATAATTGGTACCTCACTGATTTCCCCCCCCCCCCCCCCACTCTCCCCACCTCGCGCCTCCTACTGCTGCCCCCCCCCCCCCCAGTTTAGCTCATGATTAGGGAAGAAACCAAAACGTTAATGCTATGAAATGCAGGAACTGGATTGGTGAGCATATACCATCTCTGTGCATCCCTCATCACTTGATGCATTGTGGGTTGTTTGTTCAAGAGTAGTTTTAGTACAGAAATAAAAGGGTACCGTGTTGCGCTTGCTTTCTTTTTCTGTGCTCTCGTTATAGAAACCTCTGTGGTCTCCTGCAGAATCTGGACCCAATTGCAGAACATTGCCAAAGACAAATAATCCTCATCGTGCACAAAAGGGATGCTTTAGGCTTGTCCAAACACTTTCATGTTTCCTTGGCTAACAACCCCAGGCTACTTTTTGTATAACTTTTCCATTACTGTACAAATTCTTACTTTTTAAACTTGATTTCATTTGATCAAATGGATTCAGTTGTAGTTGGCACAGCTAGATGGAAGTGTGGCATGTTTTTCCAATTCTGTTTTGAATGCTTATCCTCCCCCCCCCCCCCCCCTTTTATTTTCCAGCTATATTTTAAACTGTCGTAGAGATCCAAAGCTTCTAGCTTCATACCAAAAATGGTATGACAGTCCATTTTGGAGTTTTTGTGGATGGACAAAAACAAACCTTAAAAAAAAGCATAAGGAACATATGGCTGGAAGGGACCTCAGGAAGCCATCAAGTCCAACCCCTCTCTCTCTTCCCTCACCATTTCAAGGCAGGACTTTGTTTCTAAACCATGCCAAGCAAATGTTTGGAAGTTTAAGTGCTGGTTGCTTTGAAGTTAGGGAGGGAGATTCCCTAACCTCTCTTGGGAATCGGTTTCGGTGCTTAGCCACCCTCACAATCACAAATTTCTTCCTAATATCTAACCTATATCTCCCTTTCTGTAAATGTACTTATTACTACTATGGGGCTTGTTTCCTGTGGATACAAAGCAGTCAGTTGCCATCCACATCGTAACAATGCTTTTCATTGAAAGCCAGTTATCAAATCCCTCTGTCTGATCGTCTGTAGACTACACAGTTTCAGTACTTCCATCCTGCTCTCCTACATTGTTTTGTAGACCTCCCTTCTGTTGCTCTCCTTGGGGCTCTTTCCAGTTTGTCCATGTCTGTCTTGAAGTGCAGTTCCAAAACTGAACGCAGCTTTGGAGGTGAGAGTGGAAGAATCACTTTCCATGACCTGTGTGTTGGCATCTGCGATGCATTAGCAGGAGTTATTACTTTTATATTTTTTTTGCAACAATATTATTCACCTTGCAATCCACTGTATCATTGGCTGCAGAATAGTTGTTTCCCATCTCATTTGTGCATTTGCTTGTTCCTTCCTATGTGTAACAACTGGCACTAACCCTTATTGAATTTGATCCTGTTTCAGAGTAACTTTTTCCAATTTGTCAAGGTTATTTCAGTTCCCAATCCCATACTTCAGAACAGTGGTGGTCAACCTTTTTGGCAAGCATGCTGCTGGCTACGTCTAAAGTATGAGAGAGTGCCACTGTAATAATCAGCCAGACATGGCAACCGTGAATGTGTGGCCTTTACCTCCACAGCTCCTGTGGGGCCAAACCTTTGAGCCAGTATTGATCCCTGCCCTGTTTGACTGTCTCTGTTGCCTCCCTGATCTGCCACTTGCCAGACAGACTGCCCATACCAGTTCTGGTACGCGTGCGGTGCACTTGACCACCACTGATCTAAATTGTCTACCCGAGGAGGGCGTCATCTGTAGACTCAGTACTTTTACATTCAGTGCAATCTTTTAAATCATTAGCGAAGATGTTGAACAATACTAAACCCAGGACAGACTGCTGGGTACCCCCGCCTGAAACCTTTCCAGCACTTTTTTTCAGCAAATAGTGCAGGAATGGCTGGCCCATAATCACTCAGAAAGTAATGTTATGTACTTTGGCATGGACAAAGTCTCTCCTTCAAACAGATCCACTTTAGAGACTCTAGCCTCCAAATTTTGATTTTATTTTTTTATAAAGTGTGAAATAAATCTGCACAACTTAATGTTGTACAGTGGGAGTTTAGCTAAAATATTCTGTTTCAACTGAAACTTTAAACATAAGTAATCCAAAGCGATTTAGGACCTGGATCTTCCAGCATTCCCAGATGAGTAGGGATCTGTATGTCCATGCATGATTAGCCTTCAGAGACTCAGAGAACTATAGAAAGTTAGGGTGGGAAGGGACCTCAGGAGGCCACATCTAGTCCAACCCCCTGCTCCAAGCAGGACCAGCCCCAACTACATCATCCCAGCCAAGGCTTTGTCTACTTGTCTTCAAAACCTCCAAGGATGGAGAGTCCACCACCTCTCTGGAGACCCCGGTCCAGTGCTTTACTACCCTCCTTGTGAGAAAATTCTTCCTAATATCCAACCTCAACTTCCCTCGCTGCAGCTTGAGCCCATTGTTCCTTGTCCTGTATCTGCCCCCACTGAGAACAGCCCAGCTCCATCCTCTTTGCAACCCCCTGCAGGGAGGTGAAGGCTGCTATTAGGTCCCCTCCCAGTCTCCTCTTTAGATTAAATAAGCCCAGTTCCTTCAGTCTTTCCTCACCAGTCATGTGCCCCAGCCCACTCACCATTGCCATTGCCCTCCACTGGACTCTCTCCAACGTGTCCACATCCTTTCTGCAGTAGGGGGCCCACAGCTGGACACAGGACTCCAGATGTGGCCTCCCCAGTGCTGAAGAGAAGAAGAATCACTTCCCTTGACCTACTGGCTATGCTCCTACCGATGCAGCCCAGGATGCCAGTAGCCTTCTTGGCACCAAGGGCGCACTGCTGGCTCCTATTCAGCTGCTTGTCCCTTGTCACCCCCAGGTCCTTTTCTGCAGAGCTGCTGCCCAGCCTGTCGGCCCCCAGGCTGCCCTTCCTTGGGCATGATCTTGATCCAGCTGACACCAATAAGATCGTGTCAGTTATGGTCTTTGTCCTGTACTTTAATCCTTAATATTAAATCAAGAGAACAGCCTGTACCTGAGTCTGATGGGAAATCCCACTCCCCACTGGATGGCTCTTGGAGGCTGCATGTGACCTGGGACAGGGAGCACCTTCGTTCAGTTTGCACAGTGGCTGGTACAAGATGTGGTCTGGGAGGGGTGCTCCAGTGTGTGCTGTTGGGATAGGAACAGCGATGGTGGGAGCTTGTGTGGGGCAGGAAGGACAACATGGAATAGCAGCTACCATTTCAGTAACAGAAATGGGACTTAACCGCCACTGTTTTGCAGTGAAAAGGAAGCTAATAACGCAGAGAAGAAAACCTTGGACAGAGATAACCGGGTCTGCAAAGCTAAAACATTCATTTCTCTTTACAGCACTTGGTAACTCTCCTCTCCCTCTGACTGACAGGTATCCGGTCCGTGAGCTTCTATGAGCACATCATAACTGTGGGAACGGGGCAGGGGTCCTTGCTGTTTTATGACATCAGAGCCCAGAGGTTCCTGGATGAAAAGCCCACTCATGCCTGCTGTGGACAGAAACAGAAGCTAGGAGGAAGCGAAATCCTGAAGTTGACTACGGGGAAAGGTTGGCTGGTGAGTAGTTCGCAGCCGTAGAAGCTTTTAATATGTAGATCTTGAAGCCAAGTTGGTTGTACAGTTTTTGGGACCTAAATGTATCAAATGAGCTCTCTTAAAATGCTGAGCTGGTAACTGAAATACATTTAGGCTTTGGGCCCTGTAGAGAGTTCCTCACTAGCTTTTCAGAAACCCCCCCACACCTGCAAGGGTAGGATACAGCTAGAGAATAACTTACTTGGCCAGTGTCAAATACAAACAGACTGGCCTTCCAGTGCAGTAGCTTTTGCATGGACTTGTTTCAACATTCTCTTTTTTCAGATCTTAGCTTGATGCCTCTTGAAGGTGGTAATCAACTTATAAGTTTTTGTAATTAAAAATACTATATTACAGTGTTTTAAAATATCATCGATTCCAGTCCCCAGCCCCAATCTAATGTGATGAATTTGGATGGCAGCAATGGAGTCAAGGGAACAGCATGGTCCCTTCCAGCCCTAATGTCTATGAAATCTGGCTGCTTCCTTTTTGGACCTGTGCAGAGGCAGGAACCGTCACTGTCTGTGCGGTGCTTGGTGTGGGTGGGCAGGGCTCCTGTCTTTGGTGGGGGTTCCTATAAATGACCAGAACAATTCTGTGCAGGTAGTAGGCTCAATGAGCATCTTACTCTCTCTGCTGTTCTAGTAGCTGAGTCGCGCAAAGGAGCTCTCGAACCTTGTCCCCTCTGTCTCGCTTCTGAGGACACTTGGGCCATCGGGCTGTCAAGATGCCCCCGGCCATTCCAAATTCTAGCCCAGTTGATCCTCTCGCAGGATGCCGCAGAAACCTGGGGTGCCTTGAGTACCTTTCAGGGGTGCCGCAAGGTACCACTTGATGTTGGTGCTGAGGTGAGAGAACGCAATTCCCAAGGTAAACTCGGAGGTTTCAAATATTAAACCAGAGCATTTTAAAATGTTCTGACCTGTTGTGGACTTTCAGTTCTTTGCAACAGAAGAATTACTCTCGTATTTTTCTGTAGTAAAAACCAAAATAACAAAGCGAACTTGTTCTGAGCCTTTTGCGAGCTGCCTTGAGTGTAAATGGAGAACCGCTGTTCTAGCCTATAAACCTTGGCCTGTTAGTGCAGAACAGCCCCCTCTTGGATTATGGAGGCCACATTTTGCTTTTCTGAAACCAGGTCTCTGTCTTTTGGCTTGCTTGCAGCAATACTGATGTGAACTTTCCTTTAACAGAATCATGATGAAACCTGGAGGAATTATTTCTCTGACATTAATAACTTCCCAAATGCTGTTTACACCCACTGCTACGACTCGTCTGGAACGAAACTCTTTGTGGCAGGAGGCCCCCTTCCATCAGGACTCCATGGGAATTATGCTGGGCTCTGGAGCTAATGAGAACTCTTCCCCTCAATGGTGATCTCCCCCGGTGTCCCCTTCCCTGTTCTTTACCAACAAAATTGTGTGATGCCATTGATTTCTGATTTAAACGCAAGTTATTTTTGACAGAGTTTTCTGTTGGTTTCCAACAGTTTTGTACATCTTTTTTGAACCAGCTTTTGCTTTAATCTCCTTGATCCTTTATACGAAGGGTTTTTGAAACCCCTTTTTATTGTATTTACTCCAAGTGACTCTCTTTTTTTTTTTTCTCCCCCCCCCCCCCCCCTTTCTCCCCTGCCTCCCCTCAATTTAGGCTAACTTGGCCATATGCCCCCTACTTTGCTGTGAGGTAGGACTCCTTTCTTATTGAGCGGTTGCCGCTGGGCTTTCTGTGAAAGTCCAGGGGCTGTGTGTGTGCAGGTACTTCGTGTCACTTACATTACCTGGAGTGAGGACTACTTGTAATTAAAAAGAAAAAAATATTAAAAAATATTTATAAGAAATAAGCTACTACTTTATCTGCAGAGCCTGGGTCAGGCCTAGCTTGATCTTATTTTTTAAAAGTACAAGTCTAATGACACTGTATACATAAAGGAATACAATACACACAGATGTATATTCAGCAGCACCCAGGGACAGCATCTCCCGCAATGTCGCTTGTCCAGCCTTGAGGGTAGCAGTGGCGCCAGACCTGGCTTCTCCGTGGTGCATGGGGAGAATGAAAGCAACCTCTTGTGCTCCCCTTTCTCTCTACCCCTGCCCCAGGTATCTGCTTGTGAAGGTACTGGGGCTTCAGGGCAAGCCCTCCAGTATGGCTCTTGCATGACAGCAGAGACGGAGCGAGGCTAATAGAAATGGTAACCCGACAGGCAGGTTCCTTGTGACCAACTGAACCCGGTCCGCCCAGCGTGTGAAGTAGTTGAGAGTCCTGGGTACGTGCACCCCTGTCTGGGATTGAATGGCAGGGAGGAGCCAGATTTGGGTACCAGAAGTCTGTCTACAAACAGGTCTCTCAGGCTAGGGGCAGTGTTTTCCGCGCACCTATGCATGTACACGGTGGTCGTTCCCCAGCTGTCTCAGCCAGCTGTGAGTTCTCTCAACAGCAGTGCTCTTTGCTAGCCAGTTAAGCTGCTCAGACTGCTGGGCAAAGGGAAACTATTTTTAATTTTTTTTTGTTGTGTTTTGTTTTGTTTTCCTTCCTTATCCCTGGAGAGACTGGGGTAGGCAGGTAGCAGCTACTCTCTGCAAATGTGTATAGAGTGTCAAAGGACTACTGGCTCCACTTCATTTCTTTTTAATACAAACTAGAGGCTTTCCATGCAACCAGATGACTTTTCTTTTCTGCTTATCATGCTAAGAATAGTCTATAACGTCAGCTTGGTTTTACAGGATACTTTTATAAGAGTCCTGGTCCTCTGAACACTGGTCTTCAGTCCACACTCCAAACTCCATTGGACATCACCAGAAACTGTGGGTGTAGAAAGACTGTCCACAGGCCCTTGGTGAACAATACAAAGCCCAGTTGTGAAGGACGTGCATTTTTGGCCAATGTACAGAACAAAGTGGCTTCTCTTCCTGGCTCTGCTGCAGACACCCTGTGACCTTAGGCAAGTCACTCGCCTCTCGGTGCCTCAGCCTCCCCATCTGCAGTATGGGATTAGTGTCAGGCAGGGAGATGGAGGTTTAATTTCTAGTTTGCAGAGTACTTGAGCTTATTGGATGCAAGGTGTGTTAGAAGTACAGTTCCCCTCCACTTGTGATTTGCAAGGTAAGAGTGAGGAAAGAATAGCCCTGTATGTCCACCCAGACCTAAAGCACAGACTCCTTAAATTCAGGCCCAAGTCTGCTAACCAAGACTTGGTATTACAGCATGTCAAACTTCTCCTGCTTCCCATGTGGGCTAATCGGGGGGGAAAAATGAATCGAACAACACCTAGGACAATCAAGGGACCAAACAGTAGCCATTAAATGATAGGGCTGCAAAGTAGTTCTCTTGGCTTCGGTTGTGTTATGTTCTGTGTTGAGAACATGTTGCTTTGGGATTTCTTTCATAAATGGCTGGAAGGAGGGGGTCACAGTATTTGACCTCGTGCCTAGGAACATAAATAAATAAATAAATAAATAAATGACTAAATGTTCTCTGTGAAAAATGGTGAGGATGTGTGTGTCTGAAGGGATAATATGAAGCCCTCTGACTCCTACGTGTGGGGTGTGCCTTTTGTCGGGTGGTTGTATCCCAAAGCTGGTTTTGTTTAGGTCGTGATTTTTCAGAGATGCTGAACGCTCTGCACCGGTGGTAGCCGCTGGGCATCCTGCCCGGCTGTTTCCAAGCTGTGTCCGTTGTACCCCCTCTTCCCACCTCCCCAACATTTAAAATCTTGCTGGTGCTAAAGAACAATTTTTGCTCTGGAAATTTTACCCTCTGTTTGATCATGGTTTGGCACTTCCCTTCAAAGGATTTTGAGCACTACCTGTGCTGTGGGTGTGACTAGATTTTTTTTTTTAGTGGCATTGCCTCTGCCTCGATAGATAGATAGATAGATACACATACACACACACAATTTTTTACTGAAAAGTAATCATTTTAGGTAGTGTATCTACTCCAGAGCCTTTTACTCTTCTTAGCTTTACAGTAATTCCTTCTTGAGGGTGGGGAGTTTTTCTGTGTTTTGTAGTATACCCCCAAAACAGGGGAAACACTAGAAAAATATTATTCCTGCTCTCCTGTTCCCCACTTCTCCCCCCCACACTTCCTTTTCGTGTTGGCAGCACCTTGCTTCTGTCTGTTGTAATCGGGGGTGTTTAGCAATAGCACATGGGAGAGTCCCAGACCAATGCATTTTACTTGGTGACCTGTTGAGAGAGGATGCCTTTGTATCTGCTGCTAGATATCCAGATACTTTTGCCAGAGGCTGAGGCACTAAGAGCTGAGTTGCCAAATGTTACATGGGAAGTCATAATAGGAACAGAAGCAGAACCCAGGTTTTGATGGCCAGTCCCTTGTCCAGCCCAGTGACCGGGCTGCTGTCACCCCACTGGCTTAGATTTAAAATGATAACGAAGGTGCACAGGGAAGTGGCTCTTAGGAGTAAGGGGATCCAAGTACAAGTCAGTGGCTCCTTGGTAGGGCCATCTGCAAGCTCACAGCCTCCCCATGGCTCACTTTGAAGAGGGCGTGAAAGCACGTCTCCCATCACTCAAACGATAGAGGTAAGTCCCTGTGGTGGGGAGGAACTGATTACAGACTCATTCACAAGCTTTAAAACAACTCTGTGCAGTGACTCGGTGATTCTCTCACTTGCAAGGAGCTTTGTAGACCGTTCAACTTCCAGATGCTCCAAGTTAAATTCACTTTCTTTTCCTTTCTAAAATAGATTAATTGGGATTGGATCTCCAATGCTTTCTTACGGCTGCCTTGCATTTGCAGGGGTGGCTTCTCAGGGAAGTGGGTCCAGTGGGAGTCGTCCATGATACAGGTGCTAGATGACACTCATCCATGCTATCTTCAGTTTGCTCTATTTGTGAAGTGCGTTGTTGCTTTGAGGGTTTGCTTAGAAGCTGCGTAATGCTAATTACGTACTTGTCTGTGGCAGTTGACAGAAAGTAACCAGCTACTTCTGAAAGGATCTGCTGTATCTAATCTTTTTTTTTTTTTCCCCAAAATAAGATTCTTGGTTCCTAAAAATCATTAGGCCACTTTCTCTTTTGCTACTTGACATTACAATAACACGGTGCCGTGTTGGCATTGCAGAATGTGTTAAGCAGCCAGTTTTTACCTCCCATGCTTTTGATAAGTTTTTCTTATCCAAATTTTTGTGGCTTTGGAGAGCCATGTCCATTTGCTTATAGCACAGGTAAACGGGCCCAGTAATAATACCCAACCACTGAGTATTTGCAAATACTGGCAGTACTTAAGCATTGTGATAAAGGTTAAAGCCCTTTCTATTTCTTGTTTCCACATTACTTGTTCCTTCTGAGCATGGTGATGAGTGGGAGATGGTATTTCCTCCTACTGTTTTTATTTTGTTTCTTACTGACTTCTTCAGCTCTGGTCCTGGCAGTTTAGCAAGTCTGACGTAGTTGTGGCCAGAGGCCCTCCAGTGTTCCTGCTGGGGAGAGCCCTTCCCCACTCCAGCCCACACAACTCGGGAGCCAGGGACCAAGCTCGGGTTTCGTTTGGATTCATTTGGCCTAATGAGCTGATCCAGGATGACAAACTACCAAAGAGTGGATACGCATTGGCAGCTGGATGATCTAAGGTGCTGGGAATAGGGCTGTTTCAGCACCACGGCTGTCTTATTTATCTGGCTGTGGGCTGTGCCTAAAAAGGATCTGTAGAAACTGGGAGTTTTTTTTATAATGTGCGCAGTGACATAATGAGGGAGGGCCTCCTGGCTGAGATCAGGGTACTGACATCAGAGTCCTGATAGAACGCCAGCTTTCGTACCCTCATGGGCGAGTTGCTTGCATCTAAACCACATCCTGTCCTAAATGTCAGCCCTGAAGTGCTGCTCCTATGACGGGTTTGTAGCTAGAGTCCAGGAGGAGACATGTAATTTCCTGCTGTCGTATTTTCCAGCGATGTCAAAGGGATTTGGAGTTACAGCTACATTGCTATCCCTGCCGCTAGTGTCAACACGTCCATACCAGCTGTAAACTACCAGAGCTTGCCCAGATGCTGCCATCAGGACAGCCACAGCAGGATGGTGCTCAGTGCAGGCTGGAAAACCTGCCTGAGAAACGGAGTAAATCCTCAGGCAGTTAGCTCAGAGCCTACGCTGAGCTCCACGCCCCCATAGCTGTCCTCAAACCAGCTAGCTTAAAGTTGGCATGGGCATGTCGACTTGAACCGTAGTGACAGTGTAGGCAGACCTGGAGAGAGACTTCGACCCACACTGCACTTCCAGTTGAATGTGTTGCACCTTCTGTTGAACACGAGCACCAGAACTATGAGCTGAGAGGCCAAAAACAACTCTTTGTTTTTGGGCTGACAACGTGGATTTGATGGCATGTTGGGGGCTATGAGTTTTATTGATGCCCACTGCAAAGCTCCCTTGGTGTGTGCGTGCCTTCATGCTGTGCTGTAGGGGAGAGCTTGTCCCCTGGCTCTGACGGGTGTCTATCAAGGGCAGCCCCGAAAGAGCAGCGAGCAGGAGGGTGCAGAAGAGGAGGGAAGACCCAAGGAGGGTTGGGGCTGCTTTCGGGCAGCCTAGAAGGGGAAGAAGCTGATGGTTCATTGTCAGGGCTTTTTACTTACCTGAGGGCTTCACCAGACACCAAAAACAAAATGAAGTTGACCACATCCCTTTATGTGGGATCTGTTCCTGCTGTGCCCCCATGTGCTGAAATTTTAAGTCTTGAAAATGGGATTAAGTTGGATAATATGCTGGGTTACTTCATCAAATTGCCCTCATTCTAATCCAGTGCATGGGTCCTTTCATTTAAAAAAGAAAAGAAACAAGTCAGTGCTCTTAATTGCTGCCTGAAAGACATTTTTGGCTTGTTTTTCCCTTTAAAATGTCAAGGTCTCAGTAGCCACTTTCTAAAAAGCCCTTTCCAGTTATGTGCTGGGGCCTGTAGGTCTGCAAGCCACATGCTTGCGCCTGGAACGAAGTATTGTGGCTGGCTGAGCTGCAGAGCTGTGGGTTGTCAATATGCAATAGTGACTGTATACAAATTGCCACAGTTGTGGATGGAAAATAAAATATAGGGCTATATTTAAAAAAAAAAAAAAAAAAAAAGAGACACAACCCCCCCAAACAAATAAACCCCCCATAGAAACCTAGCCTGGTACATTATCTTGTGTCTGGATGTATCGGTTGTGGACCCCCCAAATGAACAAACAAAAGTCCTAGATTTGGATCCTGGATCCAAATCCTGGATCTTGAGGAACAGTTTATCTTTTGATTCCCTTAATCAAAAGGGAAATTTCAGGTGCTGAATCTTCAATCTCATTAAACTTGTACTTTTCTTTATCTGCCTGCTCACCTGGTTCCCTCCTATATTCAAGGCCTCCCACAGTCTCAGGGTATATAAATCACTATGATTCATCCAAATAACACAAAGGACCAATCAGAGGTTGATGTGCCTTTCTCTTACGGTACCTTGATCTTTGTAAAGTTATCTCTGAAAGAAACTCATCGCTGTCTTAGGGCTGGGTACATGCCTTGTCTTTTTCTAAGATACCCACATTGAAGTTACCACAGGTTTGTATGAATTGTGACTTGTATCTCATTTGGTGTTCTAGGATGTGGTGTAGACACGAACTGAATGCACTGACTTGTCTTAGGATAAATCCTGCCAGTGATGACAGTGCTTGACATGTGTGGTAATGTGTACGTAAGATGCTGGATCTTCCCCTTTGCCTACGATGTACGTTTGGTGTATTTGCACAAACGACACGGGGTGTTTTCAAATGTGGCGATCACAACTTGTGGCTTGGGGTTAGGATGTCTTAAAGTGATTGGTAGTTTTTTAAATGTTTTTCCAAATAGATTACCCTTTGTAGACTTAAAGATCCAAAGCACTGGGGGGAGCGGGGTGTGAAACCCCGCCCCCAGACCTTCTGTCACTTGCCAGCTTTTGTTCTGAATTCAGGACATAATTCCTCGGTTTGCTGCTTAGGGCATCGGCAGTTTCAGAAGCAGCACAGAGTCCTGAGCTCATGCTGAAGCCATCAAGTGCGAGAGGACCAATTTCACCCCCCGCCCCCCATGTTGTAGTGCACTTGCTTTCTTTTAACCGTGGGGCAAAATATTTCAACCGGTCTGTGCAACTTGCAAAGTTTGAACAATCAAACATTGCAGATGGCAGGCAAAGACCAGACTGTCTGCTCGTGCCGTGTGGCGTCTGGAGTTATCCCGAGAATTGCTTTTCTGCTCTGAAAGGTGACTAATGTCTAAAATAAAGGCAGCGCACAGTCACTTCGTTGCTTCTGTGTGCTGTGCTGACAAGTACAGATGTCCCTGCACGCTCAGTCTGAGATGAGAGAAATCCAGCTGGGTTTCTGCTGCGTCCGTGGCAGTAGTGGGAGACTGCACTCCATCGCAGGAGGTCCCTTTCAGTCCAATGTAGTCATGTGTTGATCTGAATCTGGAGTGTCAAACATGATCGCCCCATGAGCTGGATCCATGCCGGATTCGGACCCGGTGGGGAAGCAACAGCAGCACAGAGATTAATGCAGATACAACTCGCCAGTCAGTGCCCCCCAGGCCTTTGTTGCTGGGAATTTGGTGACAGATACTGCCCCCTCCTTCCCCCCACCCCCATATTTCTGACCCTTCAGTTAGCCCTGCAAGCCAGAGGGAAATAGCTCTGTGGTCTGTATCTTTGACATCCTTGGCCTAAACTACATCCTCAGGGTACTTCTGCTTTTCCGTCTGTCTTCAGTGGGCATATGCACACACAACTAATTCGAGCTCGATGCAGAATTCTGCTAATCCACGAGAATGGGTTCAATCGTTTCCTCTTGGCCTTATGGAGTCAACACAGCAAATAATAGAGTTAGCAGTGCATTGTCATTATTCACTGGATGTGATGCTAATGTGTCTGTAATTTCTGTTCTATTCCCTTCCTGGTCACTGCAGATTAGACAGATTCTGTGGGGTGGAGACTAAGCCATATTTGCCCATTTGGGATTCCACGTAGAACTGAATGAGGTGCCACTTTTTAGACCTGGTCACTTTTCAGAGCAGAACTGATGTGTCTCATTTTCCGATCTGTGATCTTCAGCAGTTTCTTCAATCTCTTCTCATTCTTTCCACTTCACCTTTTTAAGAATCGATTCAAAGCTTTTTGTCTAAGTCTGAAAAATATTAAAACAGTTGGAACCAAAAGCTTTATGAAAGAGGAAGGCCTAATAAGGACCCTTTGTAGAAGGCTCACACTGTGTAGGATTAAAGACTACAGCTGCATGTGAAGTGGCAGCTTATGCTGTAATGCGAAGATCTACACAAGCTGAAATTTGCTGGTGTCAATCTCCTTGTGCAGCGATGGTCAGCTAAATAGGACGTGTGGGTGCTCTGCGTGCTGAACCCAGAGTGGCTGCATGTTACTCTCACTGGTATTGTTTAAGCTGCCTTTCAACTTCAGAATTAGGCTCCCATTCAGAGTAGTGTGGGACGAACACATCGCCGTTTCATCTGGATGGTCGCATGCTGCTAACCCTTTCCCGTGCAACTGGAAGGCTTCCTTCAGCCGTCAGGGTTAGGAAAGAAGAATTAAAAAGAGGTCACTTCCTCCAATAATTTGAAGCCACCAGGAGTCCGGTTACAGCAGAGCTCTGTCTTAGCATCCAACTTGGACCCTCTGCAGAAATGTACTGCAGCCAGCCATGCCCAGAGGAATGCCAGAGGTGAAGAGAAGCTGGTATTTTAATACTGTATCTGACTGCAGATACCCCAGTTCTTAGCACTTGTGTGTGGAAAGCGCTGGCCAGCCCAGCCACTTCTGACTGAAGCATGAAGAAGGACCATCTTCTCCAGTCATCCAGCTGCTTGCCTCATCCCCATCAGGCTGCTGCTGCACCTGTCTCTTCCATCTCTGTCCAGACTGACTATGAAAGTTCTGCTACATGGGGAAAAGGGCCCGTACTACCTGTTGATTTTAGATTTTACCTTGTCTGTGTGCAGGGCCTAGGAAACCCCAGCTGGGACTTACTACTTCAGCTGGCTGCATCCCAGACTCTTCAGGATGCAGGTGGTGGTGGGATCCTTGTTCGTTGTTTTGGGTTTTTTTTTTAGAAAACAGCTTCCAGCAAGCTGGCCCGCAGTCCTCCCATTTGGAAAAGCTTTATTTCCATTATTCAGCCTTTTGTCCCAGTCTCTCCCTTCTCACTAGAATCAGGCATATTCTTGGGTCCCAGCCTGGCTTGCTAACTTGGGCTCCAGTTCAGCAGTGCACCGGTGTGCAGGTACTTAAGCCCCACTGATGTTGATGGGACTTGAGCCTGAACTTGAAGCACCGAAGTCCTTTGCTGAATTGGGGCCTTCTCTTCAGTTCGATCCCACATGTTCTCTTCTTTCACCCAGGCATGGATCTCTCCCCTAACTTTTTCCAGTCTGAAGGGCTTTATTCCCAACTTATTCCTCCACAGCAAATATGTTGATTCCTGAGCATCCAGCTGTTTACTTTCCACCTGCGTGTTCTGGGGGTTGCTGCATACATGCAGACCCCTGTTGATTTTGATCTCTTTCCCCCCCCCCCGGACTTTTTTGAGGTGGCATTGGGGATATTTGTCTGCTTCCTAGGTATAGAGAAGCAAGGACCTCTTCAAACCAAGTTTTTAGGATGGAAGAGGGGCTGTATCACAGAAAATTGGAAACGGATCCATAATTCAAGTAGAGCAGGGAGCCATTGACCATTTCAAATAACGTGGTCCCTGAATCTTTGTCTAAACCGCATCCACCGGAGGTTCACGTCTCTGTGTTCAAATCCACTGAATGTTGCAGTGTCTATCTAGGTTCTTGCTGAGCAATGCAATACGTGCCTCAAAACCAATGCACAAATCCAGTCCGTTTCACTTAAGATGTTTGCAATGCAAGGAGTTTAATTGATGACTGATCTCAATTCTCGTTTCTTGCTAGTATGTGTTCCATCGCTAGAACACTTCTTGTCGGTGGTTCTCGAGCTCCGTACTGTTCTGCGTCACAATTGGAGTGCAAAGAAAGGGACATCAATCACAAACACAACTTGCTGAGCTTTTTCCTCCTTATTACAGACACACAGGAGATCGTTAAGAGTTCAGGTTTCGTGTGGTTTTTAAAAACTGGAAACAATGCAGCTACTCCACCAGATCCAGCACCGTCTTATCTTTCTTGACACTTACGTGGGAATGCAAAAATAAAATCCAGCAATATGTGTTCTCAGCTGGGGTGTTTGCACCGTGGAACGTGAAGTTTTTTGTTTTTTGGGGTTTTTTGGACTGATGTTGTTTCCTGCATGTGGAAGAATTCAAATTGGGTGCAAAGGTTTGGATCTGTGACTGACTGTCTTGGGTCAGCTTGCTAAATGCAATCAAATGCATTGGACTCCTCTTTTATTTTCCTCTTCAGAAGATGACTACAGTAGAAGAGCAATGAACATTAGGCTGTAACTGACTGCTTTAGGTCATCGGTGTGTTGCCTGATTTTATATGGACAGTATAATAAAGATTTGTTTGCACATTGACCTCCATCTATCAATCGTGAATAAAATTCTTTAATATGTGGGTTGGGAAAATTTGTTAAATACCAGTAGATTCATTTCCACATCAAGTGAAGAGGCTGGTTTTTCCATCTCTCACAAACTGGGTTACTGTGTCCACATACCAGAAAGATGTTGCTCTTGAAAAAAGCATGTTCATGTGTGTGACAGTGACCCTCCCCACACATGCACACACTTTTTAAATACCTAGATCTGTACATTTTTCATCTGAGTATCGTTAACCATGCTGTAGTCCGACAAACAGATCTTTTACTACTGCCCTGTTCTATAGAATAATTGTAATTAACTGCAGTTTTTTTTCCACTACTTGAAGTTGTGTGAAATGAAATTGGTGAACAAAAGTATTTGTGCATCTTACTATGGGTATCTAAATAAAACTGTATTTGTCTAGTGCGTTGGCTGGTGGCATCCTCTTTAACCTGCTGTTGTATGTAGGGGCCCCGTTAACACGTGACGCTGTGAGGGCCGCACCCGTGTTGATGGGTGTTTAATGGGCTGGAGAACTGAAAGGTAAGAATCCCCCCCGGCCCCCATCCCCCCCCCACCCCTTGCTGCGTGAGCAGGT